CCCCCCCCCCCCCCGCTTCCAGATAGTGTTTCTCTGTGTAGGCCTGGCTATCTGGTTTCGAACTCAAAGATTTACCTCCCTCTGCCTCCAGAATGCTGGGATTAAATTCGTGCACTGCCGCCACGCGGTTTCTGTTGTTTTCTTTTCTTTAGTTTAATAGGTAAAACGCCTTTGGATTGGTTGAGTGTGACGACATTTGATCCGGCAGCTGGCAGTGGGTCAACCTCGGCTCGGCCCCGCCCCATCTCTTGAAACTTCATTTCCCAGCATTAAGTGCGCCGTGGGCCTGCCTTCCAAAGAAGCCCCGTCCCCGCATCTGGCCCCGCCCTAAAACCGTGGTCTGGTGGCTTCGCCCTTCCACGCAACGGGAGCGCACGTGGATTCCTGGGCAGTTCGTCCTCGGGGTGGCCTGCAGTGCAGATCCACCGATACACTGTTCCCCAGCCTGGGATGAACCGCTTTCTGCTGCCGGTGTCCGTAGTGGGCACGGTGATCGGCGGTACCGTGCTGCTCAAGTGAGTCTGTCCAGGTCTCTGTGCGCGCGTGTTGGTAGGCTGCGGCAGGGGAATGCAGAGCAAGGCCAGAGAAGGGTCCCTTGTCCTCCGTCTTCTTTCGTCCTGGATCCTCCCGGCTCACCCACAGTACCACCTTTCCCGTACAAGCTGGAGGGGGCAGTTCACCTTCCCAAGGTCACCTAGGGAGAAGGGGTGGGGCCTGGAACTTGTGCTCTCTGTGTCTCTGGTCCACTCTTTACTTCTCATCCTCTCCCTCCTTTCTTCCTCTTCCTCATCTTCTCCTTCTTTCCTTCAACGCATTTTTGGACAGGGTTTCACTATGAAGCCCTGGCTGCCCTGGAACTCATCGTATAGACCAGGCTGACTTAGAATTTACAGATCCACTTCCCTCTGCTTCCTGAGTGCTGGGATCAAGGACATGTGTCACCATGCACAGCCTACATGAGGTGCTCCTGTGTGCATGCTTGTGCCATGCTTTTGGAGATTAGAAGAGGATGTCAGATTTCCTGAATTGGAGTTATGGATGGTTGTGAGCCACCATGTGGATGCTGGGAACTGAACCTGGGTCCTTTGTAGGAGCAACAGCCTTACAATGTATACAGTACATTTTGATCACATTCCACTTCCCTGTTCTCCAGTTCCCTCTAGTCCCTTCTCACATATTCTCCTTCCAACTTCATGTTTGTTTATTTATTTACTTATCAATTTATTTATTTAGAGAAGAGGTATCATTTAACCTAGGCTGTCCTTGATGACCTTAAAGTCCTGATCCTCCTGCCATTGCCTCTCAAGTGCTGGGCTTGCCGGTATGTGCCACTACTCCTGGCTACAGTCTTTTGTTTTTATAAACCTATAAATAAATGGTTGCCACCTCACAGAGACTTCCCAGAGTACAGTCTTTTGCTGATACGATGACAAGGGCATCATGTATTTTGGTGCTTTGGTCAAGGATGACAACTCAGGTGATTTGTCCCAGATCATAAATTCAGACACGAGCCAGACACAATTCACTCTGCTGTTTCTCACCCTCAGGGACTATGTTGCTGGTGGGGCTTGTCCCAGTAAGGCCACCATACCTGGGAAGACTGTCATCGTGACAGGAGCCAACACAGGCATTGGGAAACAAACTGCTTTGGAGCTGGCTAAAAGAGGTAAAAACAATGCCTGCTTTGGGGCTTTATTTGCAGACAAATAAACAGAACATAGTTCATTTATACAGTGGACTATTACTAAGCTTTTAAAAGGAAAGAAATTCAGACATGCTTCTGTGTGAGGATTCTAGAGGATGTTATGCTAAGTGAAAAAAAAACAGACATAAAAAAGACTACTATATAATGTTGCTTGTTAGAGCAGGCACATTCTTTAAAACACACACACACACACACACACACACACACACACACAAACTTATTTTTATTATGTGGTGTGTGTATGTTGAAGTGGAGTGGGGTTTGAGCTTGCCATCATGTGTGTATGTGGAGTTCAGAGGACAACTATGGGAGCTGGTTTTCTCCTTCCACTATGTAGGTCCTGGACTTGAACCCTGGTCCTCAGACTTAGCTGTAAGTGCCTTCACCTGTTGAGCCAATCACCAGCCCCAGTATTTGTATATTTTGATAAGTTTGCTTAATTCTGTGTGTGTGTGTGTGTGTGTGTGTGTGTGTGTATGTGTGTGTATATGTGTATGTGTGTATGTGTATGTGTATGCATGCTAGAGAACCCAGGTAGTCTGCTACTGAGCCACATCCCCAGCCCCTCCCTAGGGAATTTTAGGCAGGTGCTCTACTGATGAATTATATGCTCAGTCTTGTTTTCACTTTTGAGACAGGTTACTTAGTGAGTTGTCCAGGCAGGTCTTGAACTCACTTTGTAGCCTAGGCAGGCCTTGAACTTGCAATGGTTTGTCTCAGCCTCCAGAATCACTGCCATTTCAGCCCTATACCAGCAGGCCTGGTAATATTTGAGTTTCTACCTTTTGGTGATTGAATATGCTACTAAGAAAGCTTGTGTACAGGTTTTATGTGGGTGTATGTGTTTATTTTGGTTGGGTTCATATGGAAGGCTAGGTTTGTTTTCTTTTCATATTTTCTTATCCTGGGCTTCCAGGAGGCAACATCATTCTGGCCTGTCGTGACATGGAGAAGTGTGAGGTGGCTGCAAAGGAAATTCGTGGAGAGACCTTGAATCCCCGTGTACGTGCCCAGCACCTAGACTTGGCTTCCCTCAAGTCCATCCGAGAGTTTGCCAGGAAGATCATCAAAGGTAGGCAGGAGGACACTGACTTTTCCAGCCAAGGTTTGGTGCTTCAGGCCAGCCTCTGAGGAACCTGAAGCCAGTCAGGTACTGGAGCAGAGGTTAGCTGATAGGGTCTGCTGGGTAACACAGCTGTACTTGTTTACTTTCCTAAGATCAGCTGTGCCTGCTCGTGAGCGTCCATCACAGTCTGGCTTGTAGACTGTTGGCCTCCCACAAAGTAGGAGGGAGCAGTGGTTTGAATGAGAATGGCCTCCATAGTCTCATATGTTTGAGTACTTGGTCTCCAGTTGGCAGAACTGTTTGGGAAGGATTAAGAGGTGCGGCCTTGCTGGAGAAGGTGTGTCACTGAGAGTGAGCTTTGAGGTTTTAAAAGCCCACAGCATTCCAGTTAGCTGTCATTGCCTCATGCTTGTGGACCAGATGTAAGCTTGCAGCTATTGGCCCAGCCTCGTGCCTGCCTGCTGCCATGCTCCTGCAATCCACTCTGGTTGTCATAGACTAACCCTCTGAAACTGTCAGCCTCCAATATATTCTTCCCTCTGTAAGTTGCCTTGGTCATGGTGTCTTATACAGCAATAGAAAAGTAACTAAGATGGAGGGGTTAGGGAGGGTCATCGGACCGTCTCTGAGTGTCTAGACATTTCTCTTAGCCATTTGTATATAGTTTTGCTCTAATTGCACATGGCCTCTGGGTCTGGGGACGGGATTAAAATATATAGGCTAGGATGGTTAACTGAGAAAGGCTCCATCTGTGTGGCTATGGACACAGACCTTCCATGAAGCTATGTGTTCATGGAACACCTACACTGTTGCCTACAGCCATTTACCCATGTTCTGTGAGTCAGCCAATAAACTCATGGGTTTCCCAGGTGAACTTTGCTGGGATGGAACTTTGGTTTGCCATTGGAACCTTAATAATATTCATATTTTATCTTAAAGATATTTAATTTTTATTTATGTGTATGTGTGAGTGCCCTCAGACACCAGAAGAGAGGATATTGGATCCTCTGCAGCTGGAATTACAGATGGCAGTGAGCCTCTCTACATGGGTGCTAAGAACCAAACTTGGGTCTTTTGAAAGGTATCGAGTACTCGTAACCACTGAGCCATCTCTGTGGGACCCCTGTGGGACCTTGCAAGGAAAAAGGAATTAGACATGTTTTGTAGGTTGGAGAAGCTCAGGCCTGTCGAGTTTACCCTTTCCCAAGTGGAGGCTCCCACTGTTTCCAGAGCTGGTACGAGGGTTTTGCTGGGCCTAAACTGGTTGTTCCAGCCATTAGGTTTATGCAGAGTATCCATTTTCTTGCTGGAAGTCTGGAATCTGGAATCTTTTTGGGTGGCTGGAGTAAAGAACCATAAAGTTGGGTGCGTGATGAGTAATAGCAGACATTTTCCCCTTTCGGTAAATGTTTGGAGGCTGGAAGTTTAAGGCACTGGCAGATTCTGTGTCTGCTGAGGCCTCACTTCCTTCCTGCTCACAGGTAACCATGGCTGTGTTAGTGGTGGAAGGGAAGGGGAAGGGAGCCTCTCTTGTGAGTGTAAATCTAATCCTGAGGTTCTGTCCTTATGACCCAACACCTACAAAGAACCAGAACTAACAGGATCCAGTTCTTTTCTCTCTCTCATATACAAACATAGATATGTATGTACATGTACTTGTGTATGTGTGTATGTATGTGTGAATAAATATGTCTACACACACACACACACACACACACACACACACACACACACACACACA